GTAGGGCCTTGTAAGCATGGCAGGTGGAGTGAAGACCTTACCTTTCTCAAGGGAGTGAAATAAGAGGTTATTTTTATTCTCAGCTGCCTGCTTTTTCAGCATTTTCCCGTTTTTGCGGTCAGTGTTGTGGGCAGGGGTGAGGATGCACAGGGAGGTGCAGATCTTGCCCAGGAGCGTGTGGCAGGTGTTGCCCTGGGGTTCACCCGCGTGTGCTGCGGGAGCGAGGAGACAACCGTGCTGTCTTCTCGACTGAAAGTGAACCAGAACTTGAGCTGACTTGGCCGTTCTGTCAGCAGTTCTCGGGTTTTGTGTGCGCACACGCTTAAAGACGTGCAGAGACACATGTGAGTAGCTCTGCGCTGAGTAGGTATGTTCCCTGCTGTATCTGGAAAACTTGTGCTGTCTCTTTGCTAGCAGTGTGCTTAAAGTCTGTGTAAACTTTTTGCAATGTTGGCAGTTTGTCGAACGGTGAAACAGGGCAATTGTATCTGTATTTTTTAACCTGTCCTAGCAGCCACTGTAGGTTTAATAATTGGATATAGGCATGTAGTTTAGTTTTTGCCCCCGGGGCGTAATACTGATTATTCAATTTGGGGTTAGAAGTTCTGGCATTCTTTTCACTGAGAAAGAACAATGGAATCTCTTGTATTGTTGTGATTTAAAAAAAATTGATTTTTTTATTTGCACAAATACATTTACTTTGCAGGAATTCTGCTTTCATCATGTTGTCTCACCCGCGCTGGCTGAGCTGAAACTTTCTGCATCTCGGGAAGAGCATGTATAAAAGGAATGACCTCATGGCCAGTGTGATGGTCACATCTGCCACTCCAGAGGTACAGTTCCTTGGGCTTTGTTAGTTCCTGTGTCAAAATGGACATTCTGGATTGTTTCAACTTTCACAGAAGCCCTATCCACTGCTCTCATGTCAGCCCTTCTTACAAGCGGTCTAGTATTTGACAACAGTGTAGTTTTAGAACACTCTGTCTTTCACTATTTGCAACTAATTTTTTTATTGTTGATGATGATGATTACTCATTTAGGTTAGTTTTAAATAGCATTTTGGACTTGTTACTCTATAACTTAGAGCAGCTGTATTTTATTAATGAGTTAAGTGCCATGTAACGTAGCATCTACATAGAACCAGTCAGCAATATTTCAGTTGAATTTTTTTTGGATTTATTAGTCTACAAGTAAGAAAGTGCTCTTTAAGATATTGTTAATTTTAAGCCTTCGTATCTTTTAGGAACTAGGCAGCTCTGTTGTGCTGTTTCCAAAAACTACCTAGTTCTGTGTTGAGCTGTTGTGCACAGCTGACAGCCGGTGTTTGTAGGTCTAGGACTGAGTTTTTGTGGTTTTTTCTTTTTCTTTTTTTTTTCTTTTTTACTCTCATGTACTATTATCATGAAATATTATAAATCAGCTACTTTAAAGCATGTTTTAAATGTATGATTGGAGGTACTTTTGGAGTTTTGAAAACATTTGATAACATTTCAGTGAAATTCTTCCCTACTTGAAAAATTCCACTTCATTTCTTAAGACAGCTGAAGAGACAGATTTTGTTTTTTTGTTTTACCACATGGAATAAATAAAATGAATATCCTTAGTCCTCCACAAATTATCACTTCGTTGTTCACTGTCTGTTTCGAATTGTGGCATATGTAGTAATCATCATGTGTCTGTGCATAATCCTCTGCTGATTCACATATTCTCAGCACTTTTAACAACTGTCTTTACCTAATTATTTGTCATTGCAAGGATAGTCTCTGTGCTAGGGCTACATAGTTTCTTTTATGATTTTGGAGTGAAGAACCACGTCAAAAAATCTTTTGTGCATCTAACAAGACTGTGTTAATGGTGTCCCTTGAACCACATGTCTGTGGATACTGAGGCAGTGCTTCTCTTTCTGAGCACTGACTTGGCAGTTCCCTGGTGCAGTATGCCACGCGCATTCAGTTAAGATGCCAAAACTTCGACAGTGGTGTGGTTCTAGCAAACAAATAACCTCAGTGAGGTAAGCGCTTAAGATTTTATGTGCATATGTGTTTATTCAGTACGTAGTTGTAAGGTAAGTAATAGAAAAATGATTCAGTGACTGAAGCTTTTGGAAGTTCATACATTAACTTGTAATTTCTTAATATTTTCTGAATTTGGTGTGAAATTCATCATTCTGCAGATAAACCTACTGTTTTTCTTTGTAGGGTAGTAGCAGCTCAGATTCTCTGGAAGGACGAACTTCAGATTATGCCAATAAAAGCTACGATGCAGTTGTGTTTGACGTTTTGAAAGTAACTCCTGAGGAGTTTGCTGTAAGTAGAAACATTACTTTTTGCGTTTGAGCTTCTATAGTATTCAGGACTTGCAGAACATCAAAAAAGTACATGGAACTTTGTTTTATAAAATAAAAATCTTTTAAATGAACTTCCAGTGTTCTTGAAAACAAATTTCTGATTATATAACCTTTAACAAAATAAACGTTCTTGGGATGTAATCACTCAGTGCTGATCTGACACAGCCTGTTTTTTTCTGTGTAAAATAGTCTCACTTTTTTCTAGTGTTTTAGAAGACCCTAGCATAGGGTTAAAAATGTTGGTTATCCACATTCTGATTTTTAATTTGAAACCACAAATAATCATCTTTTCTGTTGAAGCACCAGTTTCTCAGAAAAATAAATTTCTTAAAAGTAGGAAAGAAGCTTGCAGAGAGGAAACAATTTGCATTCCTTAATACCAAGTTTTCAGTGCTAAACCAAAAGCAGGACTGCAGTTTTGGCAAGAGGCCAATGCAGTTCTTGTGCTTGGCCCCTTGTTTTTAATTTATATGTTAACTTACTGGGGAGCAGGAAGGAGTGAGGCACCTTGTTCAGTGTTTTCATCAGTATTCTGGGCATGAAAATGGTGCTTCCCTCATTTGGCCTAAGATCATATAATACCCATTCACAACAAACAGCCTGGAGATATGCTTGTATTATTCCTGTAAGTTTGTCATTGGAACTGATTCTGGTAAGTCTTTTTTAACAGAGTACACACATGAGACCTGTTGTTAGGTAAAAATACAAAAATACTTGGTAGGCAAATCTGCATCAACTCAGCCTGATGCTCTCGCTCCTGTTCATCCGAGGCCAGGTGATCCATGGCCAATTTAGACAGACCTGTGCAATCCCGCAAAAATAGAGATGTCTGATTTCAGCAGAGGACACTGAACAAGGAGTCCGAAGGCAGCCCAAAACATAGTGTGTAGTCTACACCAGCAAAAATTAATTTGTGCTTATCTCAGAACTGTATTTATAAAACGATCAAGTTAAGGTAAGGCTGCTTGTAATTTACAACTCTTCAGCTTTTTTCCTGCTGCTGTTGATTCGAGATGGAAGCTTGTTGCTGAGGGTATTGATTTAATTGTACACTTTAAAAACACACTCATGTACACATGCACACCTTCCTTGTGTCATTGTAGCATCTTTTTGCTCTGAACTCTGGGCTTCTGTAAGTGGCTTTTCTCTCTCTTCCACTTGCCACCCATAGTCATGAACAAAACGAACAAAAACCCCACCAACCCCCAGAGAAATCAAATACTGAAATGTGTGTCTGTAGGACTGGCAGCGAGGCTTGAAGATCCTGTGTAAACTGCTTGTTGACGTTGATCTTCATGTGGCCACACAAAGCACTGAGGCTTTCTTAGCCACAGTAGCCATCCTCCTTGTGCCACTTTAGAATCTTCTCAGTGGTTTACAGCTCAAGTGATGTTTCCTGCTTCCATTCCATCCAGAGAAGGAGATAATTTCTTTTCTTTCATTAAATAATAGCAACAAGTAGATTATACCTACCATTTCTTGTTTCTCAAGATTGTAGTAGTCTGAGTGTTTCAAGTTATTTGAAACAAGTCAGTTGACGAGAATCAAAAAACCTGTGGGTCCTGGTTTACTGTAGTTTGTACAATTTGGTTACTGGACATCAGGGCAGAGATCTATAGAAGGTGGGATGGCTGTACTGAATATAAATATAGCAACAAGTAGATTATACCTACCATTTCTTGTTTCTCAAGATTGTAGTAGTCTGAGTGTTTCAAGTTATTTGAAACAAGTCAGTTGACGAGAATCAAAAAACCTGTGGGTCCTGGTTTACTGTAGTTTGTACAATTTGGTTACTGGACATCAGGGCAGAGATCTATAGAAGGTGGGATGGCTGTACTGAATATAAATATTTTGAGAAAGGAAATGGAGGCAGGTTAAGGTCACTTAGAAATTTAGTGTGTTGTGTTCCTTTTTAAAATTTAGAAGCAGCAGAGGAGAAGTTCCCTGACGGTAATCATATATATAGCAAGAAGACCAGCAACATGTCAATACTGTTGTGTAGTAGGTGTTTTCACCTTTTTGGTTTCTTAACAGCAAGACTCTGAAACACAGGTTTTTCCTCTTAGACTGCTGCAGGTACTGAAAAACTTGACTTAGTTACAGCCAGTAAGTGTAAGAGAATATAATGATGTGTTGCTGGTTGGATGGTGGAGTTTCTGCTTGTGGTGTGTCAGCCTGGGCAGGGGAGGCTGGATTCGGGACTGGTCAGTTCTGCTCTGTGGAGAAAATGTTTATGTTTGCTTTGTAGTTACCACGGGGCACATGTAAATACGTTATTGTTAGCTCTTCATATTACATTATTTAACATTTTATCTTTATTCCAGAGCCAGATTACATTGATGGATATGCCAGTATTTAGAGCTATACAGCCTGAGGTAGGTTTTCTTAAACTATCTGCTTGCACCTTTGGAATTCAGTGCATGAGGAAGTCTAACCATTTGAATAATGCTTTTTCATTCATAAATGCTCAGCTTCTTCCACTGCACTAATGTTCTTCTAGGCTTACTCTGTGTTAGCCCTGTGAATCTGCAACCCAGGCTGATTTACTTTGATTTGCCATCTATTGCCAAGACACGAAGAAATGCTTCCTAATGTCTGATAAAAACCTCCCCCTGGAGCAACCTGAGGCTGTTTCCTCTTGTCCTAGAAGTGTTTTGTTAATAGTCGTTGCATTGGTGCCTTGGTCTGGTTTTACTAGTTATCTGATACATTCTTCTGTCCTGTATCAGTTTTTACACTTTTAAAATGTTTTTAAACGCTACTGATTTTTAAGACAGTTTTTAAATGTGTGTCCTAGGAACTAGCCAGCTGTGGATGGAATAAGAAAGAAAAACATATCCTTGCTCCGAATATTGTTGCCTTTACTAGGAGGTTTAACCAGGTAAAATATTTGATTACTGTGATGAACAGGCACTTTGAGTATAAATAAATACTCCTGTGAATTAAACCTTAAGAATATATTTCTAAATGAGGATTAAGAATTAAAAATTACGTTTCCTGTTCTCAGTTGCTTTGTCCACATTTTCATGTTGTTCCTCTAGACCATTGGTTCCTCATAATTTTTGCTGATGTGTCATGATATAACACGAACAATTCTTTTCCTTCTTTTTGTGTTGCTCATTCAATTGTCTTAGTGTTGCCTCATTTCTTTGCTTGCTTCTTACGTTCACTGGTAATGATTTTGGGTAATTGCAGCTCTACAGGTGAGAATTCATGGATTCAGAATTCTTTCCTTGCCTTGCTTTCTTCCTGGAATATTACGAAAATTTACAAATGTTTAATCTATTAAAGTCCTTTTTTGAAAATAAATTGTTATATGTGTTTACTTTATAGGTCAGTTTTTGGGTTGTACGAGAAATATTAACAGCACAGACCTTAAAAATAAGAGCAGAAATATTGAGTCATTTTGTGAAAATAGCTAAAGTAAGTGCAATTTTCTTGTACCGTCATTCAAAATCTTACTTCTTTTTTGTTTGTTTCTGCACCACACATATGAAGCGCTGTTGGATTACAGAGGGTAACATTCTTTTTTAGCATATCTGCTATGTTGTACTGCATTAATAAGATAAAGGTATGATGTATGTTGTTTTTACTTGGTTAAATAGAGCTACCCAGTTCAGTGTGACTTGACTTGTACCTTTGCCTAACAGGTTTAAAAGTAGTTTATCTTGTTGATGGTCAGCCAACACTGAACATGATCGTAAACTGTTTTGGCTTTTATCTTTTATGCGAAGAAAACTCTTGCTTCTGAAGTGACTGTTGTGAGACTTCTAACATGTAGTTGCTGGTATAAAGTACCACTCCTAAAGCTCAGATTTTTTAATGAGTTTGAGCACTGCACTTTACGAGACATTCTTATCTTAAAAAAAATAATAACTTATTTTTAAAAATATTTTTCTGCTTCATGACCTACAGTCATTCTGTTTTGTATGACGCTTGACAACTTTTAGATTAATTAATCCTGCTTCCCTTTTCAATGTGCTAAAAGTTAGCATTTCCTTTTTTCAGAAGCTTCTAGAACTGAATAACCTTCATTCACTTATGTCTGTGGTGTCAGCGCTGCAAAGTGCACCTATCTTCAGACTGACCAAAACCTGGGCTGTAAGTTATTCCTTGATTGTCGTCTCTTCTGTCTTGTTTGAATTCTGAGGTTTTCTGAACTCTTCCGAGTTGTCCAGTTGCATGCTTTGGAGTAAGATTCTTTGTATCCTTATTTTTGTTGTACTGTAGCAGTAGCGGAGATCTGTTAGGTGTTCTGTGAAAGCAGAGTTTAAATGGCTGCATACATTTAAACAAGCTTTTTTTTTTTTTCCCCCATGAGAGTTCCCTGTTTTCCTGGCTGTTCTAGAAGCCACTGATTATATGCTCAAGAGGACTTTAATCAACAAGTAGTCTTAGAAGAGCCTCATACAGAGTGTGTATTGGTATTCCCTTATCCAAATCACTGTGTGCATCATTAATATGTTGCCTAAAAGGAAAAGAAGAAAAAAACCCCACTATTACAAATATAGAAGTATTAAATTTTTGGTTAGTGTCCTCGCACTTTGTTCCAAGAAACTCATGTTTTTTAATAAGGCACTATTGAAGTGGCACAATTTGTGTTTTAGAGAATTTTACGTTGCTATTTCTAATTTCAAACTCAAGAGGATTTTGTAGGAATTCTGATAAACTATGAGAATGTTGGTGACTATATTTTTCCTCCAAAAATTCGGTGTTCCTGGGATTGTTCAAAACTCTGAGGCAGTGATGTGTGGTTCCTTGATAAACTATTCAGAAATAATAATTGGTTTTGTTCCTAGTTTAAGACTTATGCTGAACTGCATTGTTAATTTTTTTTTCTTAACATGTGGCATGTTTTCAAGCATTGTGCTGGTTTGGGTGACGATGATGATGAGTTTAGTCTTAACTTGACTATGATTTCCTTTACTGTGGCTTATTCAACAAATTTTATTATTTGTTGATGTCTTTGTACAGATTCATCTTTTGAAACTTATTATGTCCTTCATTTTTTCTATGTAGCTTTTGAATCGCAAAGACAAGACCACTTTTGAGAAGTTGGACTATTTACTGTCTAAGGAAGATAATTATAAAAGGATACGAGAGTACATCAGAAGCTTAAAAATGGTTCCTACTATTCCGTACTTAGGTGAGTGTAAACAATTATCTCATTTGTCTGTAGCTTTTGACTGATGAGCACCTGAAGAACACTATAGGTAGAAGGTTTGGTAACTCGATATTTAGAAAGACTAGATCTGGTGGAGGTTTTTAAGCCATGTACTGTCTAGGATGTCTGAGTTGTAGAAGTTTTGGGCATTACTGACATCTGAAACTACCAGTATGCCTTTGTTTACTGTGTTTCTAATGTGTTCAGCATTTACAAGAATGTTGAGTAAAGCATGATTTAAGATCTTGTTCCTTAATGTTGCTGGACTATTGTTTCAGATACCTCATAACTTGGTATCTCTAAACTGTAGTTATTGGTTTGTGTCAGTTTCTTCTAAATACTTCGAAGAGAAATAGAAATGGAATAGTCATTTCAGTGGATTGACTTGTCTTCGGTATTCCCTTCTGGTGTGCAGGTAGACACGCTGCGTCATTATTTCCTCAAGGGTGCTTTTAACTCCTGATTCCTGCCTGTTGCTGAACTGTGCTAGCATTCCTGAGGAACACCGCAAAAAGCCAGGGTCCTGTTTGCAAGGTCATTCAGACACTGAAATGTCTTTCTAGTGATGTTTTTTTTTAAAGAAAGAGTTAATCTAAGAAGCATTTAACCATGCCTTCTGTAAGCGATATAATAGAAAGAATAAGGTAATTTATTGCAGTTATTTTCTGGTGCCCAAGAAAAGACAAAACCAGTGCTTTTTCTGTAGCAGTCCACGTACGCAAAGCATGGTGCTGTTGAAATAATTGTTTTGAACTGACTTCAGAAAGTTTTTTGTGTTCTGTTTAATAATTTCTAACATTCTGCTAGCTCAAAGTTTAATAGCAATCAAAAAAGCAAGTTGTTTTCAGGCACTGTTTGTTGTAATCCCAAGATCTTGCCTTTATTGGCCATTATTTGCTCTTTATATTTTATGCAGAAAGTTGGGACTTTTTTCCCTGTATGTAGCACTGTATTGATTTTTTTTTTTTTTTTTTTTTTTTTGGTCTCCTGTCTTAATTGTCCAAGCAGTCTGTCATAAATCCTTCTGCAATTCATCTCGGTCAGCCCTTTTCTTTGCTCCCCTCAATTAGTTAATATGATCAGCAGATATGTGTTCCATTGTTCACTCCCATTTTCAGGTCACTTATGAATATGTTGAACAGCACAAGTCCCAGAACAAATTCCTGTGGATAACAGTTAGCACTGCTTATGTAAAATAATTCTTATTTAATAAATTTGACAGCCATCCCTGGTAGCCATACTTTAAAAAAATGTGTTGAAGACTTAGTATGAGTTATCGAAACTTCTTTGAAAATAGAGACTATTCAAAAGGGACTTGTTTCAGTGAATCTTCTTGGGGGAGGCAAATGTGGAAAAGCTTTTTAATCTGTCGGCTTAGATCTATCCATCCACATGTTCATTTATGTTAGGAATAAATAGTGAACTTTAAAACACTGCATGAGTGACAAAGTCTCTGAAGATTTGCAGAGTTCCCGAGGCTCACATGTTTCACGCTGTGGAGCCGCTTACCTCGCTGCAAGACAGTTACTTAGATGTGAGATCCCAGTTCTCATTCCACCTGGAGCAGTCTGAGATGATAGTTGAGATGCACTGGGGAATGTGTTGGAGAGTTAAACAACTACTCAAGTTGTCCAGATACTATGGTTCCTAGAAGTGGCTCACAGCCTTCTGTGAATGCAAGTGAAAATATTTCTGAAATGGACAGAAACCTGACAGAAAACACAGATGATGAAAGGAAAAGGACAAAACATGCCTGTTGCTGAGTTACAGTCTGCTGGTGTCTCACCAACCTTTAGACTTTCTATCCTCCTACATATGTTGTGCCTCAGGTTTCATATAGCACAGAAAGCCTCTCCCTGGTGATTGCAAAGACTAAGTAGTGTTACCACTCTTTTAAAGGAGGGTTTTCCTTGCTTACTAAGAGGTGCTGTCAAACCTCTGTGTAACGAGATGAATACAGGACACAATTGGTGTGTTTACAACCTCAAGATATGAGACTAACACATTCCTTACTGTGTTTAAAACTAGTTAAGTTAAAACATCCAAGAGTTGTTTTCTTTTCAGACAGATATTCCAAGTTAAAAAAAAAAAAAGAGAGATTGGTAAGGCTGTGGTCTGGACTGTTGGAAGCATTTAGACAAACCAGTGGAAGATAAAGCTTGAATATTGTTTAAGAATTTTTGCATTTTGGTATGACATGCAAAACATTCTTCCTCCATGGGATGTGTGGAAATGTAGTATTTTTCCGACCTGAAAATTGGTTTGGTTTTGGTGTTGCAATATTTAGACACTTCACAAACATTGATAGTGGTTGTATATCAGAGCTGGTTTGAGTTATGAGGCAGAGTGTTGTGAGGTTAAGTAATGATCTGTTCTTTGCTATGAGTAATCTGAACTAAAGTAGGATGAATCTGAACATGTCAAAATAACATTTGTTGCTTTATTAAAGGATTACAACATTACAGGGGTAATCTAATATATTAAAAATCCTACTTTCAGTTATATACAGCACATGCTACATCACATGTCAGTTTAATGCACATCATACTGTTGTAAAGAAGTGATGAGGTAATAAGGGAAAAAGTGTGCAAGCCCACACACAGTAAGTATCTTACAGGCTTACTGAAAAATATATTGAACTTCTAGAGGCTTTTGCTCTCCCTCTGATTGCATTCTTTAACATACTCATAGTAGTTGCTCTTTTGAAATAAGAGTTACGACAATCTGTTCTAGAAACCTACCTCAGAAGAACATGAGATCTATCCCAGTCCGTATTTTGTAGTTGTGACTGACCTCTAAATATAGATAAGTAAATCTATTTAATAATTTGACAGTAATATGTTATAGTTGTGGAATATGGTAAATATAGCTTCTCTTGGCTACGGGTAACTTCTTTATATAATTTTCATCTATTGGCTAAGGATATTAAATAGCTTATATATTGGTATCCATCATTTGCCTGCAAAGTTGGATAGTCCCTTTAATTTATATCAAGCCATTTCTGGTTACAGAGCTATACAGCAGGTAATGACTGAAATTGGGTACAAAATAGTGACAGTTGTTCTGTACTATGACGTGTTGGTTAGGGGGCCGGTTAGCTCAGTCAGTTGAGCGTGGCGCTCACAACGCTAAGGTCACGGGTTCAATTCCTATTCAGTCCCCATACGTTGCCTGATCTTGTCGAGAGGTGGCATCCCTGGCGGCAGGGAGGCTGGATTAAAATGATCTCTAAGGTCCCTTCCAGCTTAGGCCATTCTATGATTCTCTACAGCACCTTACATCTGTTGTAAATCTGGATTGATTTCCATATGCAGGTAGCTACTTCATTTTGGTAAGAAAAACATCTTTTTTTCTTTAATTTAAAATATTTGAATCAATTGTAGTTTATAGGAGCAGATTTTTAAAATGCTCAGATTGAAGGGGAAAGACTAGGTTTATCATGACAGTAATGGCTTGAGTATCTGCTCTCAAAATCAAATTATATAGTATTAACTTTATTTGTGGCAGTTAAAGATTAAATCAGAATAATCACACTAATGTACATATACCAGCTACACAGTCCAAAGGATATGATTTCCTGTGTCACATGGTGCTCATAATAATAAAAAACTCTTGCTGTACAGTTTGTGATATTTCCTGTATTTGAGAATATTTATACATAACATACAAAAATATTTAAACGTTGTGGCAGTATTTTTACCATCTAAACTTAATTTACAGGGGATAAAACCCAGAAAGTTTATCTACAGTCCATCTAAACTGCCAGTTCTTAAAGAATACGTCTAATTTTAGTACCAAGAGACTTTCTGAATGTTACGTCATTTCAGTTTCTTTCTCTGTTCAGCTTTTTTTCTCCTGGAGTTATCCTTGAAAATACAATATACAAGCCCTCATATCTTAGCAATAAATGTACAATATCTTACATTCCTCATTCCTGAAAAGGTGATTCCAGGTAATAACATCATAGCTTTAAGTGTTTTTTAAAACAGGAAAACAAACCAAGAGAAGAATTATTTCAGTGGAATGTGTTGGGGTTAGGTCTTATCATCATAACAACTTTCTTTAGTGAATATGATCCTCCCCGGAATTCAGCCCAATAAACACCGTCCTGATACCGACTGCGGTAGTGCCCCCCGCGATACCAAACTCCGTTGAGATTTGAGTGAGCACATGCGTTGTACCACCATCCTCCTTTCTGGTAATGAGCACAATTCCCTGCAAAAGAAAGCTCCGATTCAGTCACAGAAATAATGAAAAATCTTACAGCAAGCAAGCTAAGCGCAAGACAATGTTGGCGGATTGTGTTGTTGGCTTTTTTTATTTATTTTATAACCGTGTGTTTAACACGTAGATACCATAGGGTACAAAGTGAATTTAGGCTTCTTCAGGGACTACAGAGAGACTCATTAGGGTTATTCTCCCTTGCTGGAAAATGTGTTTGCGTTACTGTCTCAGATAACCCCACCATAGCATATTTTACAGACCCTTCTTAGGTAAATTTCAATGGGAATTTTTGTTTCAGTGTTAGTATGTATAAGGGTTGGCACATCAGTTTGTGCTTTGTAAGTTACCAATTGGCAAATCTCTAAAAACGTACCTTCTTTATTTTGTGTAAGACCATAATTATTTTTCCTTTTTAAAAAAAAAAAAAGAGAGGAAAAAAAAAAAGGAGGGGGGCAGGAAGGGCAATAAAAGCACGGCAACTGAAAGGGACCTTGTACCTGTGTATACATCATGGTCCCGGTCCAGCGTGGTGAACTGTTTCCCATTGTGCCACGTGAAAGAATCGCCTGCGTTGCCGTTGTAGCGTCCCAGTCTCAATTTGTAATACTCGCTTTCTGGCTCCAGTCTGAAACTAGCATACTCAGCAAATACTTTGCGACCTGACCAGTCTTCCATTGTTATGAGCAGTTTGTAGTTGCCTTGATTTGTCAACCAATAAATATTTTCTAATCCCAGCCAATATTCTCCATCTATGTTGCCAAAGCCTTGCTGTAACAGAAGCAAGAGAAGCGTGTTAATATTGTGCATCTGTTTCAGTGGTACCTCTGAGCGGACCCTCAAGGAGAAAACCACAGTAGCTTATGTTAAAGAAACTTTCTCTTCTGCAAGGATAAACAGACAAATCCTTTTCAAGTAAGCTGTTGGCTAGACTCTAAAGTCACCCTTTAACTTTTTCAACAACTTTTAGAGTGCAGAAAACACGTAACTGCTCACTTATCCTAACCTTGTATGTCTCCCAGTTCCTGAAAAAGTTGACAGACCCGTCCAGCCGTCTCTGAATGACCGTCCAGCCGCCGGGGTCGTGCCGTTGATCGCACCAGACCTGCATGAGCTGGTTTGTGTTCTCTGGTTTTACAAGATAGATGGAGCTTGTGTCATGGCCGTCTTCTAGTGCTTGCAGGCAGTCTCTCCAGGGCCCTGTGTCAAAACAGAAGGACTCTGCATCAAAATGCACCTGAGCATGTCCTGAGTCAGTAGCTTTTTACAGTAGATTTGCTTCTGCCGAATAGTGTGTTTGGTTTTACTCTTACTGAAGGCACAGTGTCCGCCAAGTGTTTTCAAACAGATTCATTTGTTGTAACTTTATTTCTGGAACATTCCACAATGAACTCCTGATAAAGGCAGATTTTTTAAAAAATATTTTTTTTTAAGGCAGCTGCACTTATACCATTGATTACATTTTCAAAGAAACATAATACTCATTAATACTTGCTGTTAGAAAACAAAATGGTAAGTTTGACTTTGTTTCTGTCTTTGAAAAATTCAGCTTTTTAGATGCCCAAAAAATGTCATTGGCAAGGACATTAGCAATGGGGCTGGCAACAGAAACTAAGAATGTGGCTGTTGCAGTTGTCACCTTAATAAATGCCTAGTACAAAATGGAAATTAAGATTTGAAACGTGGAGTGCCCACCTACATAGTGAGATAAGTTTTAGATACGTGAGAAGACTTCTGAAATACTTAGCATTCACAGAAATTACTTTTTTTTTTTCCTTGAGCTTAGTAGAGTCCATAAAAACCTTATTTTTGAAAGCATCTGACATTCATGATTTCAAGAGAAATTTTCTCTGATAGGAAGATAGTTTCCATTTTAAAGAGTCTGAGAAATTTAGATATAAAAAATTTAGGAGTCAGTGTTGCTATCTGCAGATAGATTTCTCCTAAGTAAAAGTGAAGTCAACAAGAATCCTCAGGATTAGAGACCATTGATTGATGTGGGGTTTTTTTTCTTCTTGATATTATTCCCCTCACCACTGAAGGAGGAGGCCTTCTCACTGAAGCATATATTGCTATCTTTTAAATTATTTCAGTTCATCTATCCGTTTTTGTAATTCACTGTCCAACACTGGTAATGGTAGACCTATACTTGTACTCAGTAAATGAGTTAGTAGTAAATAAGTTTTCTAGAAACAGCCTCAGTGTTTGGGGGGTGGGTGGGATTTTTTTTGGGTCTTTGTGCTTAGTTAATCAGAAAGCGTACCAAGAGGCAATCCAAGTTTTCAGTCTGTAGTCACTCCATGTTGGTCTTTTTAACTTAGTCCTGGTCACAGGCTGTACCTAGAGTGGTGTTTTCAAGCCCTGTCTCTGTTTCTGTTGTGGCCAACTGTTGGGGTTCCTGGCAGCGTAGATATCGGCGCAGTATTCTGCGGCACTGTTGCAGGGCTTATTATGAGAGGAGGAAGAAAAATTTACTGAAGGCTGGTAATTTGAATTGCTCTGCTTTATGTTACCACAATGTGTATGTAGTGACACTTACTAAAAACAAAAAGGACCGTGTCAGTTCAAAGTCACTGTTGAAGAAACTCCTGAAATAGTGAACCACAGATCTTTGATCTTGTTTTCATAAAAACAAGTATTTAGCAGCACATGGTGAAGTATTTACAGCTTTCTAATCTTGCAGTTTCTTCCTAGGCCACATGGCAACAGTGCTCTACTCCACGTGATTCTTCCCTCTGAAATGCTTTAACATGAAGATAAACTATTACAAGTACTTGCAATGAGAGTTTGCTACTATTTTTTCATGAGAGGTGGTTTTTTTTGTCAGATACTAGCTTTCTAGAATTTTGACTAAGCTGTGTAGTCTGAGATCTGGCATCAGAAATGGAAGGGAATGTACTGAAGAGAGTAGCCCCAGCACAGCTTATTTTCTCCCCATTAGTGATTTTTTTTCTTTTAATTATATTTTTTTAATTTTTATCCTTCCCTATAAACTTTTAGTCTGGCTTCCTGTTCCTGATGGGCCTTTTTTTTACTTTTCCAAGTTGTTCTTAGGATGTTAATGTGCCTTCATATCTAACCTGACAGAGTGTATCTTCTTATTTACTGATTTAGATTACTTTAGTGCTTTGAATGATGCCTTTTCTTATAATACTATTCTTTTACCAGGTTGCTTAGCTTTGAATAGGTTTTTTGGTTTTGTTGTTGTTGTTGTTGTTTGTTTTTTATGAATGCATAGTTCTGAATTTCCAGTGGGGTATCATTACATAGTCTCTGTAGTACTTGAAAGTACTTTTATATTTTCAGTTGACACTTAGTTCATGCATTGGTGTTATAATATACTGCTATTTCGTGTCGTTTGTGTGCCCGAGTTTCTGATAGGCTATTATAGCAAATCTTTCTAAAACCCCAACTTTCTAGTTCTTGAATGTTTTTAAATCTCTTTGGTTTGTTTTTCGTTAAAGTGATAATAGTTGTTTAGAAGCATATGTATGTTTGGCTTGGCCTCCCATATATATTGGCCTAATATTTCTATGCCCTGTTTAAATTTATTTTTCAGATTATATTTCAGCATCTCTTACTTGAATTTTGTCCACTGCTTCTATCCAAAGATTTTACTTGATGGTACAAAATCTGCATTGCTTCATGTAAAGGATGTATCAGTTTAAGCCATCTGCTTCATTAAGCCATAATTATCAGTTTGAATACCTCTTCTCTATTTTACTTATGTTGTTAAGTGTATTTATTTTTGTATACTACTTATGCCTTTTTTGGAAAAGTGTGTGACCATATAAAATTAGCATACACTGTATGTTAATATTGCATTAACCTTAGCATTGCTGTTTATCATTTAACACTTTAATTTTATTTTTTATAGTGCATCATGGTGTTTAAAATGTTTATCTGTGAGTTTTATCTGGTAGCATATAATAAACTGGTTTGTGTGGACGTTTTTCTAGGAATGATGTCTTCTATAGCAATTACACAAGAAAACATACATTTTGTAATTGCTATAACTAGCTGCTAATTATTCTGTTTCCCAGAAAAGATTCATTGATTTGATGGGTAGGGGTGATGAATCAAATTCATTCCCTTCTCAGATTCAGCCTTCATTTGTCTTGTGTCTAGTCATCTTCCAACATTGCACCGGCAAATTTATGCAAAGCGGAGTATTTTGATAATGTATTCATGTAAGTCTGTTTTATACAGAAAATGTAGCAGTGCTTCATGTAATAGCATGTGTCATGTTGCATGTAGAATTCTACACTAATAAATTGTTGTTTCAGATCTACTTGAATTATTGACCCTGTTGGCTAAACTTAATGATGTCACAAATTAAAACCCACTGTAGAAAAAACACATCTGCTTTTTGCATTGACATACTAAAACTTGTAGTAGTTAAGCATTAGCGCATGCAAAGTTGTTGGACTTTGGTGTCACAGCCCTACAGCCCACTCCAAACCTTCGGGTAATGCATTCAACAGAGGAGTTGTTGTTAGTGTCACAGCTAAACTGTTTTTTTCCTGAAGTCTTTTACTGAGCTTTCAGCAATCCTAAAGAGCAATGTTCATAAATGAGACTATATAGAAAATTTACGTGGAATTCATATTTTGCTTAGTAGAATGGAGTAAAATACAATTGTCACTGTATTGAACAATCTCTTGTGTTGACATTGACTTACAGACTACTTACTGATATTTTTATTTTCTTCTTCTGTAGAATTTCAGTGTTGTGTACATGTTCAGTATTTTGCAGATACAATTAAACTTACCCTATTTATTCTTTTAGGCATGAGTGGGAAATAAGAATGCATGAATAAGAATTCAAAGTAAACAATTTATGGATGAAATCACAAATTCTTCTGCTTGGAATCAATACCAAGTATATTTTATGTTTATTTTTGCAAAGAACCAGCAACAGGAACATTGGGGTATTTTTTTACGCCTCATAAAATATGACTTTCTGGGAAATGCATAGAGGATCAAAACATGACAGTAGTCCTTCCAGAGAAATTAACTTGTCTGTTATGAAATGTGTGTCTCAAACTATTTTATATCCAGTGAGGATGCCCACATCTTAACGATGCATTCTTTCTTTTCTCTAGAACATTCTACTATGAGACTGGGGTTCTTAATCTACATGATGTTTTTATGATTTACTGTCAACATTGTTGTTATGCAGTCATCAGATTTATTGACTTAGAGGCAACAGACCATGATGTGTCTTTTGAAATGTCCAACACTTCAAATACTCCTAAGAAATTTTTAGCAAGATGCTCTTCTATGCCTTGCCTCTCAAACCTGGCACATTGTTTTTTGGTATTTGGCTTGTTGTTTGGCTTACCTTTGAGAATACGGAGCTGTATGTTTAAATCACGCTACAGAGTAAATTATAATTCCAGGTAGGGAAAGACACTCGGAAGATGACAGAGAAATACCTCTAAATGACTGTCTTGTTTTAGATCCTAGTCTTAATAATGTTTTGTTCTCAGGTACTTTCCACTGAGTGTAGGCATCAGGGTCCAGTGTCCTACTACAGAAAGGGTCATGTCTTTGAAGGTTTTAAACTATGAAGGAGGTTATTTCAGAAATATTCATGCAGAAGAAATATGAAAACTATATTTTATGATCTGATTTGTATAGAACTCCCTGTAAGCTGGGTAAATTAATTTCTGTGGCAGTTTTTATGCTTTCCAGTTCAGATTCCTGTTTTTTGACCACGGTAAATGCTGCCATGTCAGCCATATTATGGGTTGGCCAGCAATAACAGATATAAAACAGAGAAAGCAAAAAAAACATGGGACATATTGCTTTGGAACCTAGAAAGTAGGGAAGAGCTGACTGAAAATGTGCAGTGGAAAGCCATGTAGGTGGCCTTGATTGTGAAATAATGGAGGCCACAGTCCTTAAGGAAGAAAAAAGAAAAACAAAACAAGAAAACTAAATTAAATATAGCATATGTCAGCAAATTCAGAGAGCGTGCAGAGAGAATGCTTTAGAAGGTTCAGGCAAAATGTTGGTAAGTTTTTGTTAGAAGAGTCTGAGGACATTGCAGTGGATGTCGCTGTTGTAGAAGGCGGCTAGGGAAAGTGCTAAGAAGCTGACTTGGCTAAACTACTCCCTGAACTAAACAATTAGATTTTTCTGTCTGCAAAATACAGAAAAGGTGCACAACACTGAAATTCTTCCTTTGCTGTAGCTTTGAAAACATAAGGAAGCCTCAGACAAACTAGATGCTAGCGCAGAGTATTGGGCATGGCTGGTTGTTTGTGGGTTTTGTTTGTTTGTTTTAAGCATAACTGGGGAGAAAACCATTAGAGAACAACAGCGTTGATAAAATATACGGAATTAAATAAAGATACTGTTACAAGCAAGACTGTAGTAAGCCTGTGATCAAGGGAAAATATTGGTCTGCTACTTCGTGAGGAAGTACCAACAGATTAAACTGTGAAGGCATTTCATATTTTTCTTCCATTTTCCTTCAGTTTTTCATTGCACAGGTTGGCTATGATCAGATGGTTAGTACTGCCAGGAGCTTTGGCAAAGTTTCAGAACTCAAGACAGTACAGAAAGAATTGGATAAAATATAGGTGGACTTTTTCCCATTGGCTGAGCTGTTGTGGTGGTGATGGGTTTTGTTTGTTTTGTAGGGTGTTGGTTGTGGGGATGGGGGTGACGGTTTTGTGGGGTTTTTCTAGTTCACTCCAGACAGCTGGCTGAAGTAGCATTTATGACATCAATTGTGAGGACGGATTTTGTTTGCGAGCTATGCAAGCACAACAGTTATCACATGCTGGATAACAAACTTGTAATATTTCTATAAATTTTAACATAATAAGTGTCAAACCCCTTCAGATAGCATGAATTATAGCAGTTCTGTCTTGGGCACAGGTAAATAAAATTATGATGACTGATTTTTGGCAGGTAAGATTTTTCTGCAGCTCCTTTATCTCATACATGTAATTTAAATGGTCAATTAGTCTTGGCAAAGTAACATGAGAAAAATCTGTGGGGCTAGTGTGTCCGAATCTGTCAGACATTCAGAATTATTTTCTTTCTGTGCTTGTACTACAACATGAATATTAAAAATACAAAATATAGATACACAGACAACATCAGGTCTAAGAAATCTCAGTTGAAAATAATTAACTTGTGTTTATTTTGCTAAATAAATCTGTCTGCATTTTGGATAATACAAATAAAATGTTGTCCACTGCATATTAGCATAAACTAATGTAGACATATCAGTAATATTACTTACCAGATGGTTTATCAGTTGAAGTTGGAATACTAGTAACGGCAGGCATGGTTGGTAAGGTAGGTGGCAGAACCTTTAAGTTCTGATCACTCTGAATCTCATTAGTAGATATCTGGTTAATAATGCGATTGTAAGTAGGAGGCTGGTACACTTTGTTTGGTGGCTGTGGAGTCTGTGGCAGTGGCTTTATGGATGGCATTCTTTGACAGTGTTCTTCCAGCTGGGCAATTACCATTGACTGGTTATTGGCAATCGACATCAAGTGTTGGTACTTGTGCTCCAAGTCTTTATATTTGTTTGCAAGCTGCAACATATCTGCAGTTTGGTTCAAAATCTTATTCTCAAGCTGAGAAAGTTCTAGGGCGTTGTCACGTTTTCGGATGATTTCATGTAGTAACTGCATATAGAGTTGTGTGACACGAGAATTCATATTTCTGCTCTCTTTCCTTAAGAGCTTAACCTCATTAACAATACCACCATCCACCTCTACCAGTTGCTGAAGAGTTTCTATTTGTCTCTTTTGTTTAAGTAGTTCATTGTTAAGTAACTGTAATTCTTGTTTATTTACCCTGTTTTCAAGTAGAACTTCAGGCTCCTTAGAATTAACACAAATGGCACCTGTCACTCTCTGTTGAGGTACAATAAAGGTGTAAGTGCACTTGTCCTGTGTGTCACTGGAACGCTTATATCTGTTCATATAAATGAATTCTTGTTCTGGTTCCTCATCATCACCTTCCAATTCCTGTGTTTTGCTTGCAGTAGCTCCCACAACAGCTATTAGCATTAAACAGATGAATCTTGTTGTCATCATGATCCTCTAGTTCTGGTCAAATAGTCTTCTGCAAAGAACTCTTAAAAATCTGTTTCAAAATAAATTTAACAGTAAGTAACAAATAGCAGTCAATGCAGACTTACAACTGATAATCTATTCTAAAACTTACAAAATACTACAGAGTAACTAGTACATCTGTGGACAAATGAGGTTTTTTTCTTGTCCAGCATGAACGTAAGTTGGCTAAAGGGGACGTTGTGGGGAATAGTTGTCTATGGGCAAAGCGGTTGGTACTGGTTGCCAGTTTGTCTAAAATCTGCCAAGAATCACAAGAAACTAAATAATAAATAACTAGGATTTGAAGATTCTTTTCTTATAGGCAAGTACCACTTGTGTTTTCATTTAAATATGAATTATATTTTTCATTCTTACAGTTACAGGTATAACCTTTAAATATAAACACAATGTAAGTAAATATGTGTTGTTAAAAGTTCTAAAAATATCAAACAGCTCATTTTCTGTATGTTATAATTTATATATATCTGTTATAATTTATATATTCCAAGAGATATAGCTTACATGAAATGAAACAGTTTTACTTTAGTCAGCAGTATTGAACATCATAGTTTAAAAAAACAAAAAAGGAAAGACTTACTCTACATTAGTCCTTAATAATTATAAATTAAAAACTCTACTGCCCAAATACCATGGGCAATAAAATCCATTGCTTTTCCAGACCAGTAGAATCTACAACTAACATATTTCTGGAGACTTTTAATGGAGGCATTGTCTTAACACTCAGCCTGGTTGTTTCATTTCATAGTCTCATCTTGGCAGGGGAAAAACAGCTACACGTGTGCACAGTGGACAAAGATGATGCCCAGCTATTAAAATCAGCTGGGAGTGTTTATTGACAGGCTGCAATGATACGCTTTTGGTTGAAGTTACACTAAATTAGTTCTCAGAGCAGATTCATACTCAAGGTGGAAATCTGAGACCATCACAACCTCTCAAAAAATACCAGAACTTTTTATAGGTAGCAGTCGTCTTGGAAACATGAGCTTAGCATTGTTGCTACTGCCAGGAGTGCCCTTGTCACAGATCCCTCCTACCAGCTGCTCAGACAGCACTTGGGAGTCATGTATTTCGAACAGCAGAAAGAGCTGGCTTTGTTTAGCCCCCAGAAGAGAAGGTGAAGGAGGCTTCTTACTGCTGTCTTCAGCTACTTAATAGGCGTTGGTAGAGAAGATGGAATCCTTCTGGAAGTGCACAGGGATAGTTTAATGGTCGATGGATACAAATTACCTCAGGAAAAAATCATTTTGGGGTTTAGAAAAAAAGAATTTCACGAGGAAGGTGACCAGGGGCTGAAGCAGTCGCTCAAAGAGGTGATGTAATCCCCATTCCTGGAAGTCTGAAGTTTTGATTTAGGCAAGGCTCTCAGCAGCCTGATCTAATGTTGCAATTAGCCTTGCTTTGGATGGGACCTGACCTTGCCTTTGTAATCTGAATTGTTCTGTGATTCTAGGCAGCTGCTGAGTTTTGAGATGATGATGGATATGCAAGCATAAATAATTATTCATACTGTGAAGAGATACAGTGGACAGTCATTCACATTTTTCTGGGTTTTGAAATAAACCATAGAAGTTTCTGTAAATGCTTCTGTAAATGATGCAAATGATGGTGAACAGGACTTTGGATATATGTTTTTTCCTCAGTTTCTTAGTTGGAATAAGCCCGTTCTTGTTTTGCAAGTGGAAAAGAATTGTGCTTTACAGAACTTGTCAAGAATCTCAAAAACTTGTCAGATAAAAGTTTGGAGGTTTGTGTAAGTAAAGGAATGTTATTTGGAGCACTGGAAAACAGAGAACATAAATTCACCCCGGACCGCTGTAACTTGCATAATCAGCATTTACACAGCAGGTCACACTTGGAAACCCTGGCTGTTTTCCAGGCCTCACATTTCTGCACGGATGGACTGTATTTGCTTATGTCTCTTGTACATAGGTGTAAAATGGATTTTATTTCACTGTTTGAATTGAAATATCTCTTTTTCCATCCTCAAAAGCTGTAATTATTGTGACCACTGAAAAGAAAACTTTTTTTCTCATAGTTGACACGTCTTTGTTACAGCATTCAGGTGTCGATGTGATGCTTAGTGAGGTGGTCTAGGGGTGCATCTGGCAGTGCTGGGTTAACGATTGGACTCAGTTATCTTAAAAATTTTGTCCAACCAAAACGATTCAATGTTTTTAATTGAGCACAGGATTTGGGGTGCTCATTATTTTCCAGACTGAAGAAATACAGATCAACATGTAACAGCTTGATTTTTCTGCAGTTTTTTAAGAATAGTTAAAGAAAAAAATGGAACAGTTTGTCCACCTCATCTTACTGTATCAGTTAAAATATTGCAAAATAGTCTATTTTAGTTGGAAGTGACCTACAGCAATCATCTAGTCCAGCTCCCTGACCAATTCAGGACTGATCAACTTAAAGCAGGTAAGGCATCAGTGAATGACATCAGCACAATTAGACTGTGCTGAAATGCTTCTCTCTCATAATCTTGCCTGCACGTCACCTTTTCTAAGGTGTTCTTCCTACAAGAAGCAGAGGAATGAAAAGTACATTGATAAGAGAATGCTGCCGAACAAAGAGAACGAAGAACCATACCCTCCTCAGGTGTCTGTCTTTCTGCAGTCTGTTTAGGGGGTGATGTCTTAAGTCTTTTATTGTCTGTACTTTTCGGTTAAAAAAAAAAAAAGTGTTCAGTGAGGCCTGTTTGTGGCATATTGTGATGGACTACATAACTGCAGTTGGATTCAGATGTTCATAGCCAAGATGTTTGTTTGAACAACTCTCAATGATTAATCCTTCAGAGAGAAAAAAAGCTTGCTGGAGGAAGTGGAGAGGGAAGCCAGAGAAACAGTTTTAAGGAAGGATTTAATGCTTTCTTATGAGTAGGAGGACATCAGATTCTTAGGATATCTGAATTCCTTCCCATAGGAGAGGAAGATCTTATTTATTTGATGTCTAACATACTAGTTTTTAGGGTTTTTTTCTCTTGCAGTTATGCCAAGTAGTTGCTCATACTCTGCGCTTAATGAGTTGCTGTTGCTTGCTGATTACTCAATTCTTCCTGTTTCTCTGCTCAAACCCCCTCTTCCTCTCTCCCTTTCTCAGTAGCTCTTCTGCAGTGGACTGGGAGAGAATATCAGAATAGCAGAATTCCTCTTAGGTAGCTGTAGGTGTTCACTCTCACCATTGTACAAAACTCATTATGTAAAACCATGCTTGCAGATTTGGTGCAAATTTGTCTCCCTAGAAGTATTTCTACTAGAAATATAGTGTGTCTGTCTTTTATCCTCATGAACACTGACAGAACTTCAACAAACAACCATACAAACAAAAAATGGTAGAGCTGAAAGAAGCATACTTAAAAAGAAAGACAGTACATTTTAATTAAAAATCAAATACTTCTAATTAGAAAAAGTATGCAAATCTGAAGTGTCAAGGGTCAGGCCTTGGCCAGCCACTAAACACTGACAGATGCTCTCTTACTCCCTTTCCCTCCCCTTTGGGAGGGAGAGAGATAAGACAGAGAGGCTACAGATTGGAAAAGAAAACTAAACAGCTTTAATAAACAATGATATTACTGAAAAGGAAATAATGAAAATTTAAATATGTACAAAAATGTACAAAAACTATACCGATACCAATCCCCACTGGTGCTCAGAGCCAGTGGCACCGGGGCCGCCCCAGGCTTGGCAGCAGAGGGGAGCTGGGCACAGGGGCAGGATTCGGGAACTCAGGATCAGGATCAAAGGCGGAAGAGAAGATGGGCCGGAGTCACTAGGGCAAGACAAAAGAGAAGGAAGGGAAGGGGCTTAATACCCTCAGCTTTATACTGAATATGACTAATATGGAATGGAATACTTCTGTTGGTCGCCTGTCCTGTCCATTCCTCCCTGGAGGTGCAACCTTTTCCTTCCTGGCACCCCTGACATGTTACACGAGATCCAGCAGTGGCCTCGGTAGCGACAGAACCAAGTATCAGCCAGAACCTTTCTGCATCCCCACCCCTGGCAGTGACGATAAAGGTCAGGTGTTATCACTTCTCGTAGCAGGCACTGTCTCCAAAAACATGCTGTTAACTCCAGAAAGTGCAGTCTCTTAAAAGAGACTGAGCTAAAAAGTAAAATCACTGAACAGAATTGGTTCTGTTTAGCTTAAACCAGGACAGAGGTAATTTCATTTCCAGATTTCGGCTGTTCAAGACTTGTGTGTTTGTAAAAGCAGTTTTCATGTGAGTTGAGTTGACAAACTTGCAGTAGTGCAGATGCACCTATACTCATTTACCCTATTTGGCACCAAATATTACTTAATTCAGGATTTGTTTTTTCCTGTCTTTTGACAGTATAACTGCATCTGCATGAGACCTTTCGATGGCAATGTTGTGTGGATTATGATCTTAGTATTTTTCATACTCGCAGTCAGTTTAGGTGCTTTGGTTAAGATTTCAGTTTGTAGACAAATGTTGGCCTATCTGTGTATATAACTGGAAGTAGGTAATAATAAGTTGGTTTGTTTGCTCATTTATTGTTTGCCCAACTGAGGATGTTCCCATGATCTTGTGAAAATAGAGGAAATACACTTTCTAAAAGGGATATCAGATGTTTCAGTGTTTGATTGTTTTTTCCCTGTCCCTTAAAGTGAAAAAGTAAATAAAATCTTCTTTAAGCTTTGCTTAGAAATATTTTTCTGTCCTGTATTCTGCCATGCTTATATGGGACTTCTGGTTAGTCAAGATATATTATCTTTTGATTGTTACAGATGTCTTGAAATTATACATGATATTTCAACAAGATTAGATATTTTACCATCTCAAATAATACAAGTGATTCACATGCTATAGTTTAATCACTGTTGTGATAGAAGTAAATATATTTCTACATGAAAAATATTACTGTTTGATAAACATACACTTTTTTGTTTTAAATCATCTTGCCTTAAGAGGAATCACTAAAGGGGGCAATGTCAGCAATTTGGGTTTGTTTGGGTTTTTTAGACTACTTATAGCAAAATACA